AAGTTTCATATCCCAGCTGCTTAAGTACTTTTCTCTTCCTTTGCTATAAGTTCAAACCAGTAGATCTTCAGTCTCGACAGAGAAATTTCTGTAAAATTCTGTCAAAATGCTACCCCCTACAGTTTTGCTTTGATTTCAATATAACTTGGCACACAAGTAGACTAAACTAAGATACATAATTCTGTGCATCGGTTTTGGATTTTCATAAACGGTGTTGCCATGGTTACTAAAAATACAAATATCAGTGAAATTCTTTCAAAATACTAATCCTCCTACAGTTTTGGTCTGATTTCAATATAACTTGGCACACAAATAGAATACTCTAAGGTCCATAATTCTGTGCATCGGTTTTTTTGATTTCCATAAACGTTGTTGCCATGGTTACTAAAAATAGAAATTTCTGTGAAATTCTTTCAAAATGCTACTCCTCCTACAGTTTTGGTTTGATTTCAATATAATTTGGCACAAAATTAGACTACACTAAGTTATATAACTCTGTGCATCGGTTTTGGATTTCGATAAACGGTGTTGCCATGGTTACTAAAAATACAAATTTCAGTGAAATTCTTTCAAAATACTAATCATCCTACGGTATTGGTCTGATTTCAATATAACTTGGCACAAAAATAGAATATTCTAAGGTCCATAATTCTGTGCATCGGTTTTTTGATTTCGATGAACAATGTTGCCATGGTAACTAAAAATAGAAATTTCTGTTAAATTCTTTCAAAATGCTACTCCTCCTACAGTTTTGGTTTGATTTCAATATAATTTGGCACACAAGTAGACTACACTAAGTTACATAATTCTGTGCATCGGTTTTTGATTTCGATAAACGGTGTTGCCATGGTTACTAAAAATACAAATTTCTGTGAATTTCTTTCAAAATGCTACTCCTCCTTCAGTTTTGGTCTGATTTCAATATAACTTGGCACACAAATAGAATATTCTAAGGTCCATAATTCTGTGCATCGGTTTTTGATTTTGATGAACGATGTTGCCATGGTTACTAAAAATAGAAATTTCTGTGAAATTATTTCAAAATGCTACTCCTCCTACAGTTTTGGTCTGATTTCAATATAACTTGGCACACAAATAAAATACTCTAAGGTACATAATTCTGTGCATCGGTTTTTGATTTTGAAGAACGATGTTGCCATGGTTACTAAAAATAGAAATTTCTGTGAAATTCTTTCAAAATGCTACTCCTCGTACAGTTTTGGTCTGATTTCAATATAACTTGGCACACAAGTAGGCTATACTAAGGTACATAATTCTGTGCATCGGTTTATGATTTCGATGAACGATGTTGCTATGGTTACTAAAAATAGAAATTTCTGTGAAATTCTTTCAAAATGCTACTCCTCGTACAGTTTTGCTTAGATTTCAATATAACTTGGCACACAAGTAGACTAAACTAAGATACATAATTCTGTGCATCGGCTTTGGATTTTCATAAACGGTGTTGCCATGGTTACTAAAAATACAAATATCAGTGAAATTCTTTCAAAATACTAATCCTCCTGCAGTTTTGGTCTGATTTCAATATAACTTGGCACACAAATAGAATACTCTAAGGTCCATTATTCTGTGCATCGGTTTTTTTTGATTTCCATAAACGGTGTTGCCATGGTTACTAAAAATACAAATTTCTGTGAAATTCTTTCAAAATGCTACTCCTCCTACCGTTTTGGTTTGATTTCAATATAATTTGGCACACAATTAGACTACACTAAGTTATATAATTCTATGCATCGGTTTTGGATTTCGATAAACGGTGTTGCCATGGTTACTAAAAATACAAATTTCTGTGAAATTCTTTCAAAATGCTACTCCTCCTACAGTTTTGGTCTGATTTCAATATAACTTGGCACAAAAATAGAATATTCTAAGGTCCATAATTCTGTGCATCGTTTTTTTGATTTCGATGAACTATGTTGCCATGGTAACTAAAAATAAAAATTTCTGTGAAATTCTTTCAAAATGCTACTCCTCCTACAGTTTTGGTTTGATTTCAATATAATTTGGCACACAAGTAGACTACACTAAGTTACATAATTCTGTGCATCGGTTTTTGATTTCGATAAACGGTGTTGCCATTGTTACTAAAAATACAAATTTCTGTAAAATTATTTCAAAATGCTACTCCTCCTACAGTTTTGGTCTGATTTCAATATAACTTGGCACACAAATAGAATACTCTAAGGTACATAATTCTGTGCATCGGTTTTTGATTTCGATGAACGATGTTGCCATGGTTACTAAAAATACAAATTTCTGTGAAATTCTTTCAAAATGCTACTCCTCGTACAGTTTTGGTCTGATTTCAATATAACTTGGCACACAAGTAGGCTATACTAAGGTACATAATTCTGTGCATCGGTTTTGGATTTCGATAAACGATGTAGCCATGGTTACTAAAGATAGAAATATCTGTGAAATTCTTTCAAAATGCTACTCCTCCTACAGTTTTGGTCTGATTTCAATATAACTTGGCACAGAAGTAGGCTATACTAAGATACATTATTCTGTGCATTGGTTTTTATTTTGATAAGCGGCAAGGACCATTTTTCTATTAATTGCCATTTTAAAGTTTCAAGTCCCAGCTGCTACTTTTCTCTTCCTTTGTTTTATGTATAAACCAATAGAGCTACAGTCTCGACAGAGACTTCTGGTTAATTTCTCAGAAAATTTGAAGATTTTATAATATCCAAAGGAAGCTCATCGTCTCTAATATGCTTTTTACATCGTAGACCAAGTGGTTTTAGACACGTTTTTCTTTTATGATACAAGTCTTCGTTCTGCGGATGAAAAACACTGTTATAAGCTGGATTATCAACATTTGCTTTTAATTTCAGAATATATTGTAGGGTAAGTTTAATTCTACGTAAGTCGTGGGGTGGTTCATTTGCCTCGACATATAAACTATCTTTAGGAGAAGTGTTTAATATTCAAACAGAATGAAAAAGAAATATTTAGAAATTAAACCTATTGTTTTAAGAATTTAAACATTCTAACGTTTATTTTTAAACACTTCTTGAGGTGTTTAAATTCTTAACGTGGTAAAGTGTTTATTATCTGTTGCAATTTGGTGTTTATTTATTAAACACTTATTTTTTACAGTGTACCTCACGTGGGGTATAATTATTATTAAATTCTAAAGTATTGGATCGGGTTTTGGATCCACGTGGTGTCACCTAGGACCAACACCATTGCTAAAGAATAACACTATATTTGTCTTCCGCTTTTGCGAAAGCGAGGGGACATTAAATCTCATTCGTCTGTCTGTCTGTCCGTCAGTCTGTCCGTCACAAAAACTTTAACCTTGCCCATAACTTTTGATTTAGTAGAGCTATGACTTTCATATTTCCCATGTGTATTCCTTGTGACCTTTCTTTGGGTGACACCAAATTTGACCTTTTGACCTTGACCTTGGAGTTTGACCCACTTTTGCACAAAAATTCCACATTTTTACTTTGGCCATAACTTTTGAATAGGAGGTACTAGGACTTTCATATTTCACATATGTATGATTTGTGGCAAGACCTTTCATTGGATTACAACCTTGACCTTTTGACCTTCACCTTGGAGATTTACGTACTTATAAAAAAAACTTTAACCTTGACCATAACTTTTGAATGGTGAGGACTAAGACTTTCGTACTTCACATATGTAATTCTTGTGAAAAGACCTTTCATTGGATACCAATAACTTTTACCTTTGACCTTGACCCTGGAGTTTTAACTACTTTTAAAAAACTTTAACCTTGGTTACAACTTTTTAACAGTAGATACTGGGACTTTTATATTTCACATATGTATTCCTTGTGGCAAGACATTTCATTGGATACAAACAACCTTGACCTTTTGACCTTGACCTTGGAGATTTACATACTTATGAAAAAACTTTAACCTAGACCGTAACTTTTAAACGATGAGGGCTAGGGCTTTAGTACTTCACAAATGTAATCCTTGTGAGAAGACCTTTCATTGGATACCAACTTTTACCCTTTGACTTGGACATTGGAGTTTTTTTTAGAATAACTACTTTTTAAAAAAAAAACTTTAACTTTTGTTACAACTTTTGAACGGTAGACACAAGGACTTTTATGTTTCACATATGTATTCTTTGTGGCAAGTCCTTTCATTGGATATCAACAACTTTGACCTTTTGACCTTGAACTTAAAGATTTACGTACTTAAAAAAACTTTAACCTTGACCATAACTTTTGAACAGTAAGGGCTAGGCCTTTCTTACTTCACATATGTAATCCTTGTGAGAAAACCTTTCATTGGAAATCAACAACTTTGACCCTTTGATCTTGACCTTGGAGTTGACTGACTTTTAAAATACTGTTTACTTTGGACACCGAAAGGGGGGACCACAATTCTTTGAATTTGCTTGTTTCAATGCATTTCAAGCCTTCGGACAGCCTTATCATAACTGTTGCGTTTAAATCACCGTTTATGCGTTGTACGCAGGAAAAGGGTTGGTAGGTACGGCTCTAAATTGGATAAGTTGTGAACTTACTTTAGGGGTAGCTTTAACTCAATGTCGTTTCGGAAGGAATGAAGACGGAGTATATAAATGAAGTTTACAGGTTTCATCAGCTATCGGTTGCGTTTGAAGTGAACGGCATCGGCTGTTTTAACCTTCGGAAAACATACCAAGATGTTCCTAGTAGGGAAAAGTAAGGATGTAGTCAGTACCTTGTTGAGACAGAAAATCTTATCATTTCATAAATTGACAAACGGAGCGTTATTGCTTGTTTCTGAGAAATATGTGGGGAACCTGATGAAAGTAATAGTTGAGAATGGAGACATTCCTTGCGATCATATCAGCGCTCCATCTGATGTAGCTGTCTACATCACAAAACAAAGAGTAATCAGTGTATTAAATAAATTGTCGACTTTGACCCTTAGCTTCATAATTCGTTCGATTAATCATGTACGAAACCTGACTAAACGTTTGCACATATTAGTATATTATTTTTAATATAGGTGGTTTCGACTCAAACATCAACTTCCAACCCCTACAACGTACTGAGCTCTGTCACAACCGTTCAGGTGAACTACACCAGTGCTAACACACCCAATACCAGCGAAGCAGCACCCAACACCAGCGAAGTCAGTGTGCTTTGGCAAACGCTTGTTTACACATTTGGAGTTGTGATAGGTATTTTATCTCATTTCTCAATAATTTTTATTTCTCTCATTTCCATACAATAGATATGCCTCCTCGAATAGAAATTTACCGTATCATATGCAACGTCATAATGGGAAAGAAACGGATAAAGTTTAGAAAGATTGCCCTGTATTTTTGCTACACATGGTTTTCATAGCCAAAAGATGTCAAAAGAAGGTCATTGTGACTTACTTTTCAATTGACAATTGGCTTAAACCAAAGATACATCAAATAACAAAGTTTGATGATTCTATGCCAATAAGTACCTGAGATATTCAAAAGAAGGTCACCATGTTTATCTCTGGATTCTAGCAGCACTTTCCAATTATCCAGCTTATTGTTGATCTATCGCATTATTTGTGTTACGAATAACAGAGGAAAGGCCGATCGGGATACGTATATAGCTTGCTTTCTTCGAAAGCAAATATAATCGATGAAAATAAATTAGCATACCTGTATAATTAACTGAACTCCATATGAATTTTACAATAAATTCGCTATATTAGTTCCCCAAACGAAGTTGGGGAACATATTGTTTTTACTCTGTTTCTTATTATTAAGGTCTTCCGTCTTCACGGAAGACCTTATAGTGATTCTACTGTTTCTTATTAAGGTCTTCCGTCTTCACGGAAGACCTTATAGTGATTCTACTGTTTATTATTATTGGATAGAATGCACTTTACCGGTACGGCCGCCATTTTGATTTTAGATCCGCTCGTGAGAGTGCGCGGCGTAAAAACTTAGCAACGTATCAAGTATGATGGGCGACGCCATTTTGTTGTGTAAGAAACTCTCAAGCGAGAAAAAAAAATATCTAAATGGGTTTTCGCTTTTTTAAGCGGGGGTGTGGGGGCGGCACAAAAAAAATGACGTTTATCTCCTTCATCACCCATAAAAACGTATTTACAACTCTGCAAAAAAAAAGACACAATGGTTCTACATGTATGTATAGTGACACGTGTTGGCACCGAGTCTTAGCGCAGATTTATCTAACGACGAAGGTAAGTTTGTTTTATTCATTTTTTTTTACGTATTGGGGGCTGCCGCCCCCACACCCCCGCTTAAAAAAGCGAAAACCCATTTAGATATCTTTTTTTCTCGCTTCGAGAGTTTCTTACACAACAAAATGGCGTCGCCCATCATAGTTGATACGTTGCTAAGTTTTTGCGCCGCGCACTCTCACGAGCGGATCTAGAATCAAAATGGCGGCCGTACCGGTAAAGTGCATTCTATCCCATTTAGCAGTAATGGATCTTTATCGTGCCAACGCCTGCCGCTGACACGGGGCCTGGGTTGTTGTCTCATCCGAAGGACATCATTTTTAATTTAAAAATGCCAACGCATGGTAAAGGAACAGTTGTTACCCATTTTTTCTCGACTTAAGTAGAAAGAGAGAAAAAAAGAAAACGTGTCTTACCTGATTTATTTTTGTTTTAAAATGAGCTTATACAGTTTGTCAGGTTATTATTAAACATTGAGAGTTCGGAATTATTTCGTTTGTAAAAAAAAATTGCTCCAAGTTTAAGTATAATGGCAATAATGCCAATAGCTTTTACTTTTAAGGTAGAAGTGTCAATTCATAATGCTCATAGCTTTTATTTTCAAGGTAGAACTGTCAAGTTAGTCATTAGTCTAGAAATTGATGCAATACCAGGCATAGTGCAGATGTTTCCAGAAGTGACCTCCTAGTAATGATTTTCTAAAATAAAATGAATGCCCTGATACAAGAATGTTGATAAATGTGACCAGGAAATTGAAAGATTTTGAAATCACTGTTTTGCAAAGCTTTATAATATGAGGTCAAAAGGTCCCTTAGATGCAAAATTTGTTTCAATTTTTTTTTATAGTAAACTGATTGGTTTACAAATTTCAGGTACATTTAAGACAATGTTAAATACTTTAACTCCTTGAGTTCACTTTGCATGAAATGGATCTATTTAAGTTTAACCATGTTGTTACCTGTGTGAAGTCCCTTGCCGGGTTAAGTGAAGATACACATCTCTATTCAACTCCTTCACTGGCACTGAAAATTGGGAATAGTCTCCAGAATTGTGCCACGATTTACAGATAGAATCACTGAGGCAGATAAAACAAAACAAGGGAATTGTTCTACTTTTATACAGTTGCACAAATCAGATTGGAATGATCTTAATTCCTCGCGTGCCGGACAAACATGGAGATAAAAAATACAACTCTCCAATAATGTTGCCGCTGAGTGAAGATGCGTTCAAGCTCAATGCATTATTACAACTTCTCGCCAAACATATCCGTGTCTCCATTGATATAAATATGTCCGGTTATAGTCGTACAGTTATTAAATTCGCATTTTATTTTTAACCAGAAGTCTCTGTCGAGACTGTAGCTCTACTGGTTTGTTCTTATAATAGAGGATGAGAAAAGAAGCCATTGCCATCAGACCAAAACTGTAGTAGCTTTTAAAGGAATTTCACAGAAATTTTTATTTTTAGTAACCATGGCAACACCGTTCATCAAAATCAAAAACCGATGCACTATTGTATGTATCTTAGTGTAGTCTACTTGTGTGCCAAGTAATATTGAAATCAGACCAAAACTGTAGGAGTAGCGTTTAAAAGGAATTTCACAGAAAATTCTATTTTTAGTAACCAAGGACATACCATTCATCGGAATCAAAAACCGATGCACTATTTTATGTATCTTAATGTAGTCTACTTGTGTGCCAAGTAATATTGAAATCGGACCAAAACTGTATAAGGAGTAGCGTTTTAGAGGAATTTCACAGAAAATTCTATTTTTAGTAATAAGGAAATACCGTTCATCGAAATAAAAAATTGATGCCCTATTTTATGTATCTTAGTGTAGTCTACCTGTGTACCAAGTAATATTGAAATCAGATCAAAACTGTAGGAGGAGTAGCATTTTAAAGGAATTTCACAGAAAATTCTATTTTTAGTAACCATGGCAAAACCGTTCATCGAAATCAAAAACCGATGCACTCTTTTATGTATCTTAGTGTAGTCTACTTGTGTGCCAAATTATATTAAAATCAGACCAAAACTGTAGGAGTAGCGTTTTGAAAAATTGTTTACAGACAGATGGACAGACAGACAGACAGACAGACGGACGGACGGACACCTTACTCTCGCATAAGCTCTTCTGGTCTCTGACCAGTAGAGCTAAAAATGGAAGATAACTATGTCTGCCGAAAAAAAACAACCCACAAATCAATAATCAAACACATTACGTTGGTATATTAGAATCTCTGTGCTTCAATCAACAAAAGAATGCCATTTCAAAACACAACACAAAATTAATAATGAAGTCCAATCATCAGAAAAATATACGCCACATGTACAGTGCAATATCTGCACGTGTATTTAACACTTGTGCACGTCTATAACCAACTGTATGCAACACCAACGGTTAGATAAACAGTAACATAAACTCAAACAGCACAAATTGTGACAATAATCGACAGAATGATGGAATGAGAAAGCACGTCTCCTGGCTGACTATAACAATCACAAAAAGTTGTACTTTCATCAAAATAGACATGCCTCAAGTTAATAACAGTGGTCAGCCCGCGAATGTGAATGACTTGCTGAGCTGAACACGTGACCTTTCACCTTCTTTTACAATTAATTTGTCAGACAAGGCGTGGATCTGAGAATTTTCACAATTTACCAACCTTAATGTTACTTGTAACCTCCAAATAAATTATCGCATTAAGGAAAGGATTGCACGGGTCCGTGAAAAAATTCTGCCCAATGAATTTTTCTAATTTTTTCATATAACGTCCCTAATGTCAATGATACCATTATATCAAAGTATCAAGCATGGTCATCAGGCTAATAAGGAAGATATGGTTGCCATGGTAACCACCATTTTTTAATCTTTTGATATTTGTGAGGTGAATGTTTTAAAATGTCATACACGCAACAAAATTGAAAGAATTTTAGGGGGGGGGGGGCAGAATGAATAAAATGAAGAAGAAAAGAGTTTATCTGTTTAAATTATTTCTTATCAAAACAAAATACTCGTTTTTTGCAAAATAGTTTTATATTCAGATGTTTGTCAGTGCTAACTTACCTTTTTTTTTTAGTGCAGAAAGGTCAATATTTATGACAGAAGAGTACGAAAATAAAAGAAAACGTCATATTTCTCGTTTATTTTATCATAAACGTATACTTTTTTCCTTGTTAAAATAAATAGAGGGATAATTTCTTTCAAAAAATATGAATTTCAACATTTTCACACAAAGACTTTGTAAGATATTACCTGTTATGCATGTCGGAATTGTAAAAAATACCACAAGAAAAACGGGCTGATACTTACATTGTGCTCCTTTATAATTTTTCATACGAGATGAATTACAATGAATTTGCATTTATTTTAAAGATACAAGTCATATAAATTAAATACTTGTTGATTTCGAATGTGATTTGACATTTTTGGTTCTTTTTAGCGCATATTTGGAGTAGAACAACAATGTCTGAAAATAATCTATTTTTAGCATTTCACACTGTTTTTGCACGTGCTCCTGTGTAAAAATAAACATATAAAGGTATTTTTTTTAATACCTAAAAATTAAGATCAAGTTGTCAGGAAAGAAATGTCAAAGTTTTGAAAATTTCACACAAAGACTTTTCGGACATAGGTCCCCCCTTAAATACATAAATTCAATTATTATCCTAAAAACTGTTGTTGCATGAAGATGTGTGCCATGACGTTTAATATGCCATGATACAACACTATTCAGCGCCCTACGTTAAAAAACAAAACAGGATACAGCATTATAACTATACAATAATTATTACTTACATTACAGCTCAATAACCAATTTTACAAAGGGTGTGTTCTAGAATTGACGTCATCTCTCTTAGTGTGACGTCGTAATATATATATATTATTATAACAGTAACTTGATCCGAAGGGTCGTATCACGTCGAGTTGACAGGCGCGG